ACAGTTTGAGTGGATTCTGTCTCCAGGTTGTTAACCCAGTGTTGATTGGGGCTGTGATCTCAGGGGAAGGCTCGGCTAGGAAAGGGTCCCTTACCAAGATCCCCCATTCTTTCTTGGCTGGACTGTTGTGGAGGACTGACACATGTTGGGCAAGGCATCATTCTTGAGGCAGCCATCACTTTCTCTGTAATGTTTACCAAGGACAAGGCAGTGGGCACATCCCTGATAGAGGATGGGATATCAGGAGTAGGAATGTATGATGGAGATCCTTGTCAGCTGCCGCTTGCCATTGTACCGAAACCCTGGGTCAAGTTCACCATGCAAATAAATCCAAAGGTAACTGGGATAGCACTACCCAGTCCTTATCATTTAGCAGCCACTTTATTTTTTAATCTAATTATTACCCCAAAATTTACTTTCCAGTTAGAAAAGTTGGGGGGGCTGAGATTTCTTAACATCTTGATATTCTGCCTCAACATAAACTTATTCTGAAGCTCTTGAGAAGCATCATAAATATTTAAGGATGTACATATGATAAAATGCAGAAGTCAGAGGTCTGCCTATAAAATGGATAATTATATTTTTATTGCCTAATAAAAAGCAACCTCAAATGTGTTATGGTGCTCTGTAGAGGTGGCTTAACAGTGTCCTACACCTAGGCTTCTCTTCTAACTTACTGTACATCGCAGTTACTAAAAAGCTCCTTGACTTAGATGACTTGCCTTCTGGTTGGTTCCCTTATGAATGAATATGTGAAATGAGAATTCGGTATGTGCCCCTGGAGGATCCTGTCTGAGAATTTAGCATCTGCATGGTTTAGTAGCCCCTTTGTACATGGCTGCACAATGATTTCAATAGAAACCGGCTTTCCTTGAGAAGTTGATTGTTTAAAAGCTTACCAGACTCCTACAACCTTGGTCAGCTCATTTATATACTCATGCTAACACAAAATCTGTGTGAATGTAAGTTTCTCCCATTCCTGAAGATTCTAGCCCCACCTTGGGGATGGTCCAGCCTTTTGCTACTTTTTCTCATGGTCTCTTGTTGTGGGCTGTGTCTTCCCACAGATGCAGAAAAGGCATCAAAGCTGAGTTCAGATAACTAGTGCTTTCCTGACTGGCAATACCTTGCCATTGGATCCACGGAAGGGAGGCACATGAGGAGCACACCAGCATCTAGGCATGTTCTGATGACAGGGGCAAGAGAACCACACAGCTCTTTAGAAGCTCCTGTGTTGTCCACTTCATTAAGAAACCCTTTTCTGTTATTTTCTGTGATAATGCTATTCTGATCAGCTGTGTACTAGCAGTAATCTATAAATAATTTAACCTCACACATATGCATCCTTTTATAGGTTATCTGCAAACACGCACACATAATAAGTGTGCTATCAGTGACCTGGGTGAACTTTAACATGAGTTACAATGTATTTGTGTGGGGAGGTGCTACAATTTGAGGATGTCCCTGACAGTTCATGAGCTGGATGTGTGCTTTGCAGGGTGGTGGTGTCAAGCCCATAGAGATGGGGGTGGATGGAAGGCATTTGGGTCTTTGATACACAGTTCTTAGCAGGGGTTGATGCTGGAGTGGTGGTCAATTCTCAGAGGGCAGGGCACACACATGCTTAATTCTTTCGCATAAATAAGCTCCATTCTAATTTCCTGTCTATGCTATGTATACACATGTCTATGCATAGCATGCTATGGGTGTCAGGAGGCTGGAAAGGCTAGCAGCTCAGGGCTGCTGAGGTAGAGACCTGTCTACCTCAAGTGACCAGCAAGTCTGTGGAGGGGGTTTTCCATCCCTGTGTCATTCTCTGAAACACAGGTTGTTATATGGGTTGCAATTCCACTAGATACACTTGGGAATGAAAACAGAGGCATCCTGCTTTCCATACATCCATTCAGATGAAACATAAGTGAGCTCTTTGGTGTTTATGTAGAACCACAGACCATTCCACTCATCTGTGCACTGTTTTATGTCTGCATCTTGGAAATGGAGGAGGCAAAGCTGTGTCCCCAAGGACTGAGTCAGGGGCCAGGGGATCAGCAGTGGAGCAGTTATGCACTAATGGCTGATAGAAAGGACGTTGTAGGTGGTGATCAGAAGGCTAGGAGGCCTAGTTGGGAGCTTGGGTTTGGCATAGGAGAACAGTGTTACTGTTCAGGAGGAAGAAGGACAGGCAACAACTGCAGGGTCATCCCCCAAGCTCAGTGTACAGAGAAGCAGACAGAAAGCACACACAAGGAGAGCACAGGATGCAGCCACAAACCAACATGCCGTGTGAACCTCAGCCCTCCACTGCTTTGATGAGTTGTTTAGAAAAAGTGGGGCAAGTACATGGTTCAGAAATAGCAAGTCTAAGATACTAATGTATTCTCCCAGGGCAGGCTTCTTTGTTAGACTCACCACCACGCATGTTGTGCTGGCTACTTTTATGTCAACTTGACACCAGCTAGAGTTATTTAGGAAATAGGAGTCTCAATTGAGAACATTTTGCCACAATATTGGACTGTGGGTAAGCTTGTGGGGCATTTTCTTGATTAATGAGTGGCATGGGAAGACTCAATTCACTGAGGGCAGTGCCACCCATGGGAAGGTGGTCCTGGATGGTGTAAGAAAACAGACTGAGAAAAGACATGATGAAGAAGCCAATAAGCAGCCCTCCTCCACGGTCTCTGCTTCACCTGCTATAACTTCCCTCCGTGATGGACTGTTATCTAGAAGTGGAAGAGGAAATACACCCCCTTCTTCCCATGTTGGTTTTGGTCACGGTGTTTCATTGTAGCAACAGAAACCCAGACACAATATGGTGATACAGATGTGGTATAACTTCTGCAGCAGCCTGCACTTCCACAGCTGTTTGCTTGATAACATTTTCAAAACATTCTCAAGGAAGGTTCGTTGCAAGGCAAGAAGTACACATGAAACCACTGACTGAGTCACACAAGAGGAAGCTAGCAATCTTCAGACAAGCATCTCATTACGACTGGTGACTGAAAAGCCAAGTGGCAGTAGATGAGGGAGAGCTGGAACAGAAGGGGAAGGACTTGAGGTGGCCAAGTAGATTGGAAAGAAGCAGAACGGTGCATCTCCACCTTAGCAGGACGCTGCAGGGACAAATTCCCCTGCTGTGGTGACTGGGTTTCTCCTTGAATATCCTAAATGCAGAACTTTAGAATGTGACCATGAAGATCCTAGGAGCTTGGAGAGTGGCATCTAGTTGGCACTCTGCCCATCTTCCCTGTTCTGTGTAATAGCTCATAGGCAGTGCTCAGTGAGGCAGAACACCACTCCTCCCCACACCACTGGCAGTATCACTTAGTCTAAGGACATGTTGAAGGCTGAGTAGCGAAAATTGATCTAGGGTTTCGGCTAGTGGGTGTCAGAGATGAGGCACACACTATGGTCTCACTTCATTCCTTCTCCTGACCATCAAAACATATTCTCCTGTGTGGTGATCCCATAAACATGGAACGAGACAGGAGAAGACGTCCAGATTAATGGATCAGTTAAAAATTCCTGTACAACCATATAGGTTTGCTAATGCTATTTAATGAAAACTAATCCCAGAAGACAATATCCACATCCGCAGCATCTCTGTGTTTGCCAAACTTATTGATTATAAGAAATAAAAGAGGCAATTTATAAAGGGAGCTTCACCAGAAGCCATTTTAGGCACGCGAACATGGCATGGCCATCTCTTCACAGGTCAGATAAAGCAGTGCACCCTGATGGGCTCTTAAGGCAAACCCAGGTGCTTACCTGAATCTAAGGAGAAGGAAAGAACCCAACCAATTTGATTACAGACATTCTACAAAGTAAGTGACTTAGAGTTTTCAAAAGTATCAAGATAATGAGAATGGAGGTATAGTGTTACGGCAAAGCATGTGCTTAACATGCATATGTCCATGGCATAGCATGTGCCTATCATGCATATGCTCCAGGTTTTGATTTCAGCCTTATAAAACAAAACAAAAGAACATATACACAACCAAACTTGTTTCTTGGCATGGTAGTAACTCAGCCATACATTGGTCCTGGGCTGAATCTCTTGGACTGAACAAACAAAAAAACCACAAATCAAACACACAAACAAACAAGAAGAAAAATAGCAAAGAAAGAAAGGGGTGATGGGGGCAATACCAAGAAAGACGCAAACAAAAGCAAGGCAGAAAAGGAATGGTAAAGATACAATCAGCTCCAATGCATGGAAGACAGGGAAGAAACAGCAATGATGACTGTTTCCCAGACAACCGAGGGCATCAGAATCGGGACAATATACTGGGTAACACTGTTTTTCAGTGTTGCAGATTTCACAGTGAGGATGCCGGTCTGGTTTTGTAGAGACTGCTGTGAGCTTAGGAGACCCATGCCAGAGGGTGCCTTGTCATCTGCAGCTTGCTTCCAAATGTTTCTGATACAAAGTTTATAAACTCTCTGTGTAAGCATGAGTAAGTCTGGTTAAAGATTTTAGGAGTTATCACTGTCCTATTCCTTAGATTGTTCTGTACATTTGAAGTTCTTAATGATAAGAAGCAAGGCAAAAAGGCAAATGAAAGTGTGTATTTCAAGAACTGTAAGATGAAAGCCACTCGGCTGGACAAAAACTGTCATTCTGGACGAGCATTAGAAAAGGAAACATGAAATGAAAACAGCGTGTTAAGACAACAAGGTCTATTTTCTTTGCTTTTATCACTCTGGAGACACAAAATGAACCTCAGCTGCAAAAGTGGCAATGCTAGTTTGCACGAGGGTGCAGCAGGCTACTTGTCAGTCACCACTGTCACGTTCCTCTCAAGAGTAAAGCCATCCTACACTCAACTCCAGTGCGGTGTCAAAGGTACTTCTGACCCCTCATTCGCTGTGTTCCTGTGGGAGGTTAGCACACTACATGGGGTTTGACCCCATTCCTGGGGCTCTGTTCCTAGAACTCTGAGGGCTTTGGAGATGTTGGTAGCCCTCTCGCCCTGCCACCAGGACCCCAGCATTAGACTTACTTTTCAGACTCCTTGCTCTTTGGAGGTGAGTGGCATTCAGGCATTTGGGTCGACATGGCACCGTCCCTGCTGGAAATGGCCCATTGCTGCCACAGGGGAGGTATGAGAGCCCAGTTAGCCCCCTGAGAACTCTGGAAAAGAGAGAGTAGAGAATATTCAGAACTTTCGCTAATTGAGCATGAATAATTTATATAATTTCTCTCTTTTTTTCTCATTAGAGGCACCCTTTGAGTAATTCTCTATAAATCGTTTTTGTAGGCAATTCATTTCTGGAGTTCTTAAATAAAAACCAGAAGAATAAAATAGAGATTAAGTGAAAGGAAATGAAGCTTAATAGAAAATAGTCTTGAAGAAGAACAAAAGTGGAGTTCTCACACCGAATTTCTGAATATTAGAAGTCTCCAGCAGATGAAACAGCATGGTTTGGGATAAAGACAAACTTATGGATCACTGAGAAAGCAGCAGACTTAGAAGTCAACTGTTACTTAAATGGTCTGTGATCTCTGATGAAAGTGTAAGGGCAATGGAAAGAGAGGTTTTTCTGTTTGGTTGCTTGTTTGTGTGTTTTCTGGCTATAGGGAAAACTAGGTATCAATATGTAAAATATGAATTAGGGCCTTACTTAAAAGCATACCTATATGCAAAGCATAAAATAATAATGATGATGATAATAACCATAATAATAAACTTCTCAGGAAGAAACCCATAGAAAATCTTTATAATATTGATTTGGACAATTATTTCTTGGTATGGCAGGAAAGGCAGGCAGATGGGAAGGACCCAAACTGGCTCTCATGGAAAATACTATGAAGACAGAGAGTAGGAGTCACACCCTTGGGGAATGTTTACAAAATACATAGCAGATTAAGAGACATTACCCATTTTGTTCATGAGTAACCTTTGCAGGTAAGTCACCTCTTCCCTTTCCTTTTCCCTCTGCCCTGGCCTATGGTTGTCCCACACCCACAGCCTAACTTCATCTTCAGCCCAAGAACCGGGTTTGTTCAGGAACCACCTGTGCCTGGAAGCTGTTTATTCTCTTTCTCACTCTTTCACCCTGCCTGCTGCCATCCCCACCTTGCATGGCTGGTTTGACTGGTAAGGTACACCTTTCTTCTCTGATCTCTCCCCCGCTCCCCCACAACTGTGGCTTTCTGCACCCATAGGCTGAGCTCAAGACTTGTGGTTTGGGAGTCATATTTTTCTGGCCCAATTAAATAGCTTATAGACCATCTTTACCTGGCCTATCTTAGGTCAGGCATCTTCTGCATTGACCCAATAGAAGCCGTGCAGATTGTCTTATCAGCCATACAACCAAAGAAAGAGCTTCACAAGTCCAGGTCAGATCACAAAACCAAAGCCAACCTGAATGACCAAGATCACACGTCTCCCACCAAACCACTTGCCCAATGAGAACTGCCTAGAGGAACCCCAGGGCACAGGATTTAAAAGAAGAACCATAAACTTTATGAAAGAAGACAAGGAATTTAAAGAAGATGTGAACAAACACTTCATTGAACACCAAGAGGCTAACAATAGATACCTGAGTAATGGTTTACCTGAGTAAAATACGAGTACACACCCGAATGAAATAACAAAGACAATTCAGCAGTTATTTCAAAACTGAATCCAACAGAGTTAGAAACATTGAAAGAAACACAAGTCGAACTGAAGATAGAATTGAAAAAAATATTTCAATTAGAAAGCTCAGGGGAAAGACAAGAAAAATGAATAAAGCAGAGGATAGAATATTAAGCCTTGAAGATAAAGTAGAGAATCTAGATCAAATAAGCAAAGAAACGACAAATTTAAGGAAGCACAGCAAAGGACCATGCAGGAAACGTGGGACACTATTAAAAGGTTAAACCTTTGAATTATAGGCACAGATGAGGGACAAGAATACCAAGTAAATGACACAGATCAGATCTTTAAGACAATCATATACAAGAAGCATACAAAACCCCAACTAGACGAAACCAGAAAAGAAACTCCTCATGGCATATCACAGTCAAAACACTAAGTATACAGAACAAAGAAAAACACTTTGAAAGCTGACTGATGGGGGAGAGTCTTCTGTTTTGTGTTAATTTCCTTGGTTAAATAAAGAGACTGCCTTGGCCCTTTAATAGGACATAAAATTATGCAGGCGGAGTAAACAGAACAGAATGCTGGGAGAAAGAAGCCGAGTCAGGAGTCGCCATGATTCTCCTACCACACACAGATGCAGGTTAAGATCTTCCCTGGTAAGACACCTCGTGGTGTTACAGGGATATTAGAAATGGGTTAGATCAATGATGTTTGACGAACACACATACATTAGAGAAAAGAAAGCATCTTCAACAAATGTTGCTGACGTCATCATGCAGAAACACGACTCTTGATATGACGCTACCATCCAGCACAAAAGTTAGCTCCAAAGGGATCAAAGACCTCAATTTGAAGCCCCCCAAATTAAAACTGCTAGAAGAAAATATAGGCCGTAACCTACAAGACGGTGTAGGAGAGGACTTTCGGAATGTGAACCCCTTTACCTATGAATTAAGATTATAATTGTTAAGTAGGACCTCATAAAACTAAAATACTTCCATGTAACTAAGAAAACAGTAAAATAAAGAAGAAACCTATAAAATGGGAGAGAATCTTTGCCAGTTATATCTATGACAGAGGATTACTATCCATCATATACAAAAAACAAGAGTCAAGGAAACAAATGACACAATTAAAAAATAGGCTTGGGGTATAATCAAAGAGTTCTCAATAAAAAGTTTTTAAAAAACTAAGAAATACATAAAAGTGTTTATCATCATTAGCTATTAGGGAAATGCAAATAAAAAAACTCTCATAGTTCATTTCACCCCAGTCAGAGTGGCTAAAATCAAGAAAAACAACTAAAATTAAATGTCAGTGTGGTTGTGGGGAAAAGAAAACTCTCACGGTAGGGACATGAACTTATGCAGTTGCTCTGGAAATCAGTATGGGAAATCCTCATACTAAAAACACATCCACCACCTGACCCAGCTATACCATGCCTTGGCACATGCCCAACTCCACGCAAACTTGCTCAGAATCAGACACTGCCACCCTATTCACAACACCTGTAAAATGGAAACAACCTAAGTGCCCTTCAGAAACAGATGACTAGACAATTAAAATGTAGGGCATATGCACAGTAAAATACTATTCAGCTGTAAAGAAAAACCACAAAATCTGCAGGTAAATGGATAGGCCTAGAAAAGAGTATACTGAGTGTGATAATCTAGAACCAGACTAACAAACATCACATGTTCTCTCTCATGTGAAGTTCCTACTTCCAAATCCTCAACAAGGAACAACTAGAGAAACTAGGACCGCGTAAAGGGACCATGGAAAGTGGGGGCTTGAGAATACCAGAATACAAGGGAAGGGAAAAGTGGAAAAATGTGATGGGGGCTTCATTAGAGGAGAAGAGACGGGCTCAGTGCAGAAGGAGAAGGCGGGAGGAATGGAAAATAACACCAAGGTTGTTTGATTAAGCCTCAAAGATCATGTTTACCTAAAATAATATACAGTGCATACAAGTGTATGTGGACATACACATCTCTCTCCCTTCTCTCTAGTGTGTGTGTGTGTGTGTGTGTGTGTGCGCGCGATATGAATCTATCACACCCTGTCGTGTGGTTACTAGTGTTAATGCTAATGCAGATATATAATGAAAAGGAGCAAGCTGAGCACGGAAAAATATTTGAGGAGAAAAGGGACACCAGAAAGTGGAACAGAGCTAAATTCTGTGTTCAGGGAAATAAACGAATTATGAAATGGAATAAAAGGAGTGGTGTCCTCGGGGCAAGATCACACCAAGCTAAATTTCCAACTTGGGGAAAAGGAATTAAAGAAAAGTTTAGATCCAGGTGTGATGGTGCATGTCTTTAATCCCAGAGGCTGGCCTGGTCTACAGAGCAAGTTCCAGGACAGCCAAGTGTAGGCAGTGAAGGTAACAATCAAAACCAGGAGGCTGGTGAAGATGTAGCTGGACAAGGGGGCCATGCTTGCAAGCAGCGTCACCCCATGGTTCTGGCTTTAGAGTTAAAAATAGAAGAAATGGGTTATGGAATTTGCCTCAGCACCTAAGGAATGTGGCTGGGGTCAGGAATGTGTCAAGGGTGTCCCACAATGGAGGCCTAGAGAGGCCATTTTGTAATGCTGTGAAGTTAAAGCCTGGATTGCCATGGATACCCCAAGATGTTAGAGATGCCAGAGTCCTGGGATACCTGCTAACAAGGAATGGAAGCAGCCCAGGAGAAATGTGTTGCAGTCCACAAATCTGAAAGGAGTTGGAGATCTGAAGAACATTTTGACATTAGACATGGAGATGCAGTTTGGAGTTTGCCCAGCTGGTTTTTGATCTTGATTTGGCACAGTATTTCCTCACTGTGCTCCCTTCCCTATGTTTGGGAATGGCAAATATCCTGTGACATTATATGTTGGAAGTAGGTGATCTTTTTGATTTTGGTTTTACAGGGGGATTACAGTTAAGAGATTCCCAAGAGTCTCAGAAGAGACTTTGAAACAAGTTTGAGACTGTCATAGACTATGGGAACTTTTGAAGTTGGACTGTGTGCACTTTTGCATGATGATATGACTACAAGCTTTTGGGGGAGGAGGCAGGGAGTGGAATGTGGTGGCTTGAAAGAAAATTGCCCCCAAAGGGAGTGGCACTTTTAGGCATTGTGGCTTTGCTGAAGTAAATGTGGCCTTGCTGGAGGAAGTGTGTCACTCTGGAGATAGGTTCTGAGGTCTCTTTTGCTCCAGCTTTGCTCAGTATGATACTCAGTTCACATCCTGTTGCTTTTTGATCAAGATGTAGCAGCACCCTGTCTGCCTGCACACCACCATGCTCCCTGCCTGCCACGTATAATGGACTGAACCTCTGAAACTGTAAGAGAGCCAGCCCAATTAAATATTTTCTGTCTTTTCATAGCAATAGAAACCCTAACTAAGAATATATATAAAACAAAGTTATATCACTTGAACTGACAATGGTCCCCACAAGACCCTAACAAAATCCCTAGTACCAGGCACAAGAAGCATCCTTTTGAGAACAGCCCAAGTGACTCCCCAAACAGTATATTACATTGTTGTTTTCCTTGGTCTC